TGCAAGTGCATGATACTCTCATTCTATGTTAGACCTGTTATAGTTATTTTTGCATGTTGCTATTTTTGGTAAGTTTGTATGCTGCACTATTTTTGAACATGTAAAAGCCAATTAACATTGGAATTCCTAAAGGTAGCATACACCAACTTAGTAAGAACATTCAAACAAAAGTTAACGACATGATTAAGCTTACCAAATCATAGTACGACAACATCATATTATTTTCAGTTAACACTAGGAATCCACATGCCTGGTCCTCAAAACTAGCTAGAAGGTGGTTGGAGACGCTTAAGATGACGGGTGATGACCCACAAGTACAGGGTATCAAACGTTGTCCTTTCGACAAATAAGAGTGTCGAACCCAACAAGGAGCAGAAGAAAATGACAAACGGTTTTCAGCAAGGTATTTTCTTCAAGCACTGAAATTATCTGTGACAGATAGTTTGGTAGCAAGATAATTTTGTAACGAGCAACAAGCAGCAATTGTAACTAAGGTGCACCAATGTAGGCCAACCCTTTTTGTAGCAAAGGACATACCGGTACAATCTCTTATATCAAGTAAAGCACTCTTGAGGACACACGGGAATTTCATCTAGTCACTTTCATCATATTTACTTGATTCGCGTTCGTTACTTTGATAATTTGATATGTGGGCGGACCGGTGCTTGGGTGTTGTTCTTACTTGAACAAGCCTCCCACTTATGATCACCCCCTCTCGCAAGCTTTCGTAACTACAAAAGCAGAATTAAGATAAATCTAACCATAACATGAAACATATGGATCCAAATTAGCCCCTTACGGAATAACACATAAATTAGGGTTTACGCTTTTATCACTCTAGCAAACCATCATCTAATTACTACTCCACAATGCATTCCATTAGGCCCAATGATGTTGAAGTGTCATGTAGTTCATGTTCACATAACAATACTAAGGGAATCACAACATACATATCATCAAAATATCGAATGAATACCAAATTCACATGATTACTTATGAGAAGACTTCTCCCATGTCCGCAAGAATAAAAATAACTACTCACAAATCATGATCATGTTTAAGATCATAGGGGTATTGAATATCATTAAGGATATGAACATATAAGCTTACACCAAATAAACCAACTAGCATTAACTACAAGATGTAATCAACACTACTAGCAACCCACGGGTATGAATCTGAAGTTTTGAGACAAATATTGAATACAACAGATGAACTAGGGTTTGAGATGAGATGGTGCATTTGAAGATGTTGATGAAGATTGGTCCTCTCACCATGATAGGATTGTTGGTAATGACGATTGCTTCAATTTCCCCCGCTCGAAGGAAAGTTTTCAAGGCGGAATCACTCCGCCGAAGAGCATAAGTGCTCCTGCCAGATTCCGCCTCGAGACGACAGTGCTTCATCTTGAAACCCTTCTTCCGATATTTTTCTAGGTCAAATGGCAGCATATAGGAGAAGATGGTCCCTGGAGGCCTAGCAGGGGCGCTACAACCTTGGGGGCGCTCCCTAGGGGGTAGGGCGCGCACCCTAGGCTTCTCGCTTCCTGGTGGGTCCCCTTCTAGTATTCTTTCTCCAGCATATTTTATATATTCCAAAATAAATCTCCGTCAATTTTCAGGTTATTTGGAGTTGTGCAGAATAGGTAACTTTTGATATAGCCCTTTCTGGTCCAGAATTCCACCTGCCGGCAATCTCCCTCTTTATGTGAAACTTGCAAAATAAGAGAGAAAAAACACAAGACTATTATCATAAAGTGAAATAACAATCCATAATGCGATAAATATCTATAGGAAAATATGATGCCAAATGGAAGTATCAACGAGCCACCTGATGGTGGGACCGTTGAGCATTCCGCTGAAACTAAGCCGTGATCACATACTACTCCTCCACTATCGGGACAGTGTTGCAGCCCAGCTTGGCCTCCAAGCTAAGCAGCGGTAGATTCTTCCTGGCATCAGCCTCCAACAACTCCTGGTCATGCATCTTCTGATCCTCGCCGTCCACTGGAATGGTCAGATCATGTTTGCCAACGAAGGACGAGCGATGACCTTCATATCCCCTGATAGCACACCCTTTCGGCAACCTCCTCCTGGACGATGATCTCCAAACACCCCGGTAGTTGTCATCTACTGCATCCTCCACCCGCTCCTTGTCAGAATCCTCCTCCCGCTCCTGCTCGTCGTCAGAATCCTCTTCCTCCTCCTCCTCCTCCTCCTCCTCTTCCTCCTTGTCAGAAGCCTTTTCCCCCTCATCCTCCTTATCAGAATCCTCTCCCTCCTCCTCATCGTCAGAATCATCTTCGTCCTCCTCATCGTCGGCATCCTCCTATTAAGTTTCCTCGTCGATGATGTCAATAATACGCAAATTCACCATTCCTTCCGGATGTGGATTTGCTGACGAGAGGCGGGAGCGATAATCGTACCAGCATGCTCGTTGTTGAGGATCCGAAGAATCCATCGCTTCTGCCATTCACCAAAGGAGAACCTCCATTGATATTGTGCCCTTCTCTTCAGGAATCATCCGCTCCAGTTCGACTGATGTCACTTCAAAGGTTAGCCCAGCGAGTGCAACTCGAGAGCTTTTTTGCTTGGAAACCAGGAGCATATTTCCTTGCACTCGGCCAACAACTCCTCGCCTCCGGCACAAAATTCTTCCATTTCTCTCTTCCGTCCAAGTACAACTAGCAATCTATTCAAGACAATATTTGCAAATCAAATTATTAAAAAAGAAATCGATTATAAGGATCGAAATTACCACATAACCTAAAATGGGCTCCTATGAACGGATCATAATTTGTATTTTTATTAAACTAGCTGCCACTATCAGAAATCCAATCCTAGAAAGACTTTCATAACGTTTGCAAGTGGGAGCAGCTCAACGAACAACAATTCAATCGCCCAATCGCCCGTTCAATCGAATGATCCTAATTACTAGGGTTCCTATTAGAAACGTGCATGTCGCCCAACTATATCGGATGGTTCCTGCTAGCTGCGACGTATCACCAGATCGCTTCACCATTGGAGCTAAGGCATACGGTCGAGTAGGCGGCGGGACTGCCAGGGTATGGCGCTGCGGGACTGCTACGCGAACAATGACATCGGCAGAGAGTGGGGATGCGGCTCCTCACTCGGGGCTAGGCTATTTTAGGCAAAAGAAAGCGATAGCTCACCTATCCCAGATCCCACTTCGTCATAAGCGGTCACAACCATGGACCACCTACCATACGCAGCCCGCATGTCCAAAGAACCGTGGCCACACATGTCAGTAACTGAGCGGTAACTATCAACTGGTTTGACCGGCGACAAAGCTCTGTTTTGGCTTTTGTGAGAATGAGGCGAGTGGTGGAGGGGAAAAGTGGGGAAAGTTAGATGATATGGGCACAGAAATTCAAAACCCAATAAAAAATATGGACAAAAATATGATACTATGTTTTTTAATAATTATGTTCACAAAGACATCGTACTCACAATGACCAACTGTGGAGTAGTTGAGTGTATTTATGATGATGAGGTCGACAAGTGAACTATACCAGTCTCATGGGTGCATGTGGTATTGGTCGTACAGGGCTTGGGAGTAACTACCTTGTCTTACCTTTTCCCCTTGTCACATTTTAAAAAATCATTAATACCATATTCAGATCTGCATTTTGATTGTTGATTTAATTTATATGAAGACGAGAATTTCGGGTAAATAGCCATACGTACATAGCACTAAGTAAAGTATAAACAATATTTCGAAAGTGGCTTGGCCACTTTGGTGCACCCGGATCCAATTTGGAATATGTGTGCGCCATGCCGCTGCTATTGGGACTATGTACTATGATACACATCCAACGCTTTTTTAACCGCACCAGTGATACATGGAGTCATCTGTGAGCTATGATATTTTTTTTCAGCCACACATACAACATCAATAAAATTGAAACATGGGATTCCTATTTCTAATGATCGCGCCATACTTGGTCGAATTGTATTGTACCACCAAATGCAAAAAATCAATAATTCAAACAGTTTTGCCAAAGCACATCTAGATGTGCCATAAGTATTGCACATCTAAATCCTATATCTCAACTAATTCAAAAGCTATACTAGTCACGCCCATGTTATTTTGGTTGGCACATCGAGCTCGTCAAATTGTATGTAAGCACCGTCCAAACATGGACCGAATTAATGTGCCATAAAATGTAGATATGTGTCGTAGCATTGGAAGCATTAATGCGGCAACGCCAACCTCTGCTACCAATGTCTTCAAAATGTGTCTTTTTCCTTCTCCGGGCTCTCTTTTCATACACACTTCCCAACTTGTATGCTACAAGAAATCCACATAGCCTACATCAATTTTGTATTGTTGAATATACTAGTACGAGATGCTGAAATCTCATAGGAGTGCCAAGTTGCATCTTTCTATAATTTCGATGCATAAGGGTAGGAGGCATTAGAAACATAGCAATATTAAGGGAACTACAAATTTGTGAAAGTTAGTCTCACGACGTTGTTTCTTAGAGCTATGTCCCTAACATTGTGCTCCCTCCAATCCTAACTAGTGCCTATTTTTTTTTTTCAATTTTCCCCTCAATACTCTGCGTGGTCCAGCGAGTCAGCGATAGTTTCCTATCATGCCCCTGTTTTAGGTTCACATGCAATGTCTCATAATTACTCGCATGCAGAGAGATAGGTTTATGCAGGCATGCAGGAAATAAAATCTGCAGGCCCATGGAAAAATAGTCAAGAAAATATCTTGTTGGCACTAAGGCAGACGAAATGATAAAGAACTAGATGATGCCCCGCGTGTTGCTGTGGGAACTCTTAGTCCTACGCATACATAAAATATCTTGTTGTGCTCCCCCTCCAACTTCTCCTCCTCCTCCATCCCCACCTGCTCCTCTTCATCCTCCTCCTCATCCGCCACCTCCTCCTCCATGATATAATATGAAGGCTTTTATTTGTGTGTGTGTGTGTGTGTGTGACCTCAACGTACACATGGTGACCATTGGTTGATTAGCAAATGTTAGAGCAGTCGACGGAAGAGCTGATGTCGTAGGGGATGTTGACGCCACACTTGAAGGGAATGTCGGCGACGTTGCCAGCGTTGAGCCCACCGGGAGCACTCTTGATGCACTTGCACGCCACTTGCTCGTCAGCGGTGCTCCGTGCTGCGCTGGCCACACTGCTGACACGGCTGCAGCAGGCAACAATCGGGTTGGCGCTGTTGCCGCTGGCATAGGAGATGCAGGGTTTCAAGGTAGAGCTCACCTGTCCACAGGAGATGGCCGCGTCGGTGGCTACGAGGAGCATAGCTAGCAGCCACTAGGGCGACCAGCATAAGCTGAGCAACTGCAGCATGGGCCGTCTTGATCTAGCTAGCAATAGTAGTCAACTGAAGATGATAAGAGGGCTAGATTCACTATGTGATTGTACCGGGAGGAGTTTGGTCGTGGGGGTGGGTGTGTGTGTGGTGGTGGTGGGGGGGACCCATGGTGTATGCACAACAGATTAATACAAGTGACCGGACATGGAATTGAGTGCATTTACGACGGTGTGCTTGATTACTAATGCTGCCCTCAATGGGAGTATCATAGGTAGTATCATACATGCCAACTAAGCAATTTTGATGATGTGGCATAGACATACTTTCTCAGTCGGCTGACAATTATCAAAACCATAAACAATATGGTCAGGAAAGTTTGATCCAATAGTTCTTTATAATTAGATCCCGTCAAAATAAAACACATGTAAGGGTCTTCCAGTTTGGCACCATTGAAATAAGGGGCAAGCCCCTGCTGAACGAGGCTCTCCGCATGCGTTGGGTGTGGTTTGAGAAGACGGCGCTGGACAAGCCTTGGTTGGGGCTGTAAATGCCTATTCCACCTGCGAGTCAGAGCCTTGCTCTTGCGGCTCTCTGCAGCCAGGTTGGGAATGGTGAGCGAGTAAACTTCTGGCATGACCGGTGGATCGACGGCCGTAGCATCGCGCAGATCGCTCCCCACCCGCTTCCCTTCATCAGGCCCGCAGGCAGGGCAATGTGCGTGGCGCAAGCCCTTCTTGGCAACGCATGGGTTGACGAGATCCGCCGCGCCCCCTCCATGCCAGCGATAGCGTAATTCTTGGAGCTATGGGAGCGGGCTTCTTCCTCGGGAAACATATGCCTCCTTCTTCCTCGCGAAGGAGCGGGCTCCTTGTGCTGATGTGATCTGGAGATCATGGCCCCCCTGGAGATCAAGAACTTCGTTTGGTTGGCGGTGCGAGGTCGACTATGGACAGCGGATAGGCTCACGCGCCGAAACCTGCCTCATGCCAGGCTTTGCCAGCTATGCTGCCATGTGGATGAAGACATGGCGCATATGCTGCTTGGATGCCCCTTTTCCAGGGAAGTTTTGTATCACATGCTCCTCCCCCTGCGTTTGCACAGGTTCACACCCGATGGCTCCGCCTCCTTGGCAGATTAGTGGCCGGCGATAGGGGCTTAAACTCTGTCTAACTGGCGTAGATATCTCAACACCCGCATTGTCGCAACCCTACGATCCATCTGGCTAGATCAGAACGCTAGGGTTTTTCAGTGCAAGTCCACCTTGCCTGCGCCCATTGTTCATGCATGTTGCCTGCGTCCGTCCTTGCCTTACAGTCCGGCTTGTAACCCCCTTTCAAAGGACATGCAATGCTCATGCATGTTCTTGAGAAAAGAAATAAGGGGCAAGATGCCTTCATTACAACAGACCAATCTGCAAGAGACAGATCACTCGTGCACGTCACTTCCTAGGCGATGCCATGAGCAAAACTCCATGCCGCCACCAACAGCCATCCGCTGCAGCCTCCCCTTCCGCCACTGCCACTGGCCTCTACTGCGGTGGCGGTAGGCCCATATCCGAAGGAGGTGGGGTTTCCTTCAGGCGTGCTGCAAGAGGTGGAGCTCAGCCTGTGTGGGGAGACGCCGATGGGGGAAAAGATGGTAGCGTGACGACCCTAGTGGTATTCTCCTATCCAAATTACCGATCTTCCAGGTGCCGGTCATCCTCGATCTGGAAGCCGACAAGTTCTGTACTCTTCAATCGACGGTGTTCACGGATTGGTGCATGGCACTCATGGTCCTCTAGATCGGATGGGATCCGGTCAGGCGCGTCTCAAAAACATCAACTCGTGTGGCTTCATGTCCGCGTTCTGAAGCTTCACCGTCGACACCAAGGGGTATATCCGCTATGATCCATGGTGTTAACATAGGTGTATCTTTTCTCTGGTTAACTTGTCATGTATTTTTTACACATAATGCATTATGTACGAATAATGTACAAAAATGTTAACGCCCACATGTGTGGGTGTTTGCATCTACCCCACACGCGTGGATCCGCGTCCGTTCATGAGCGCACGAATCTTGGCATGTTTTTAGTGCCACGTAGGACTGGTCTAATGTGTGGGCATTCACCCAGTCGCCCACACGGCCGTTTCACCACATGGGAGGGGCTGGTGTGTGTGCGTTTAGCAGTTCGCCCACACGCCACTTTCCACGCACGCATAAGGGCTAGTGTGTGGGCATTTGTCATCTCGCCCACACGCCCGTCTCCTCTCCCTCACCCAAGCTGCTAGTTGCCATGTACTTTATAGTGCACATGGCAATTGCCCTAGTGTGCTTTATAAGCAGGTGGCAACTCTCTTTTTACCCGAGTTGCCATGTGTTTTGCAGGGTACATGGCAACTGCCTAGTGTGCACGTAAGCAGATGACAACTCTCTTTTACCGAGTTGCCATGTCTTTTTGCATGGTACATGGCAACTGCCCTAAAGTGCACGTAAGCAGATGACAACTCTTCCTTTTACATGGCAACTGCCCTAGCATGCTTGTGAGCACATGGCAACTCTCTCAACTGCCTAGTATCAGTATGTGGCAACTCCTAAAGTTTTGAAACCATGGCAACTACATTAGACCAGACCATACATGGCAACTGCAGTTGAGCAACCATGGCAACTGCAGTTGTCCGACATGGCAACCGTAGTTCAGCGACATGGCAACTGCTGTTAAACGAACATGAACGAGGGTCTGGACCATGACAACTGCGAGCCCGCGGTGACTGTCACGCGTGGCATGCGGGACCACGAGGTACGAGGCCTGACATACAGGGCGTGTGGGCGTTATCTACTTCGCCCACACACACGCGTGTGAGTGGGATTGGGAGGAGAAAAAAGAGATGTGTGGGCATTACTTGTTTTGCCCACACGTAGGTGTGTGGGCTGTTCCTCTTATACACCACACAAAATGTGTGGGCAGACCTTCTAACACCCACACGTGTGGCACTTATCGGCGTCCATAATGTAAGATGCAAATAGACTAGAAATTACTAAGACGATGCTTCTGTACACAGGCCAACGGAATGACCACAATAGCTTGTGTAGAGTGAAGATTTGGTTAATATTCAATAAATTTTATGCAACAAAAAGGAAAAAATTTGCAACTTATTTTTGCACTACGGGCGGTGAATATATCGCTCAATAGGTGACATGAAAATATCTTGTTGTTGTAGGTTATGTGTTCTTATTTCTAAATCATATATCATTATATCTATCTATCGGTCTATCTACTTATTACTAATTACAGACTTCCATGGTAATTCTCAGCGCTTAAAAAATATGTATCGTTGATCTATTGACACTATTAGGCAAAAGTCTAGTAGTGACGCGGGTAAACTCTCTAATAGTAGTGCAGGCCCCGCGCTACTACTGTCGCACCACAGCTAAAAAGTTTATAGTAGCGCGGGTGCCACCGCACGCTACTAAAATGTTAGTAGTAGCGCGGGTGCCATCCGTGCTACTACTATTTTTGCGCCCGCGCTAATACAATTTGTAATAACCACACACTACTAGTATCCTAAATAGTAGTAGCACACAGTTTTTCCCAGGCTACTACTATCTAATTAGGAATTTAAAAATTTTACCAATTCTATTTTATGCATAAAATTCTGGCAATTAAAACAAACCTAGAAATGCAATCACATTAATTGCAACTCAGTTAGGATTTTGGACAGGGTATTGTGAAGAATGTTAATTGCAAATCAAATCATCAATGGTAACAACACTTAGAGGACACATTTCAAGGCTATGGTTATATTAACACAACGTGGTAGTGGTCCTCATGATACAGAAAATGTGAAGTAATAGAGCATACTATTTCAATGTTGCTCTTGAGATAACACTAAAGTGCAGGAACATGGGAGTGGTCTCACGATGCTTGTGATTACGATCATCGTCGTTGTCATCACTAATTTCATAGTTTTCAATATCTATAGCAGCTTCCTAATCGTTGGAATTACTTTCTTCCTATGGTGATGGAACTCCTATTTTGCCAGCATCCAATGCTTGATCTATTGACCCTTTGTGCATCTTCACGATAGGCGAATCCACAAGAAAAAGTCAACTTAGCATCTAGATTGTATCCATTTCCTTGGCCATGTTCAAGAAACACTAAATTTAGAGCTTTATCTACCGTAAATACATGAGGCATCACGACAGAAAACAAAAGATGAGCAATATCATATGAGCAGAATAAAAAGCAGTTTGGAATATAGCATCATTGACTATAAATTAATGTGCTCTAACAACAGCAAGAGTGCAACATTGCCCTGTTCCCCTTTCAAATATCAACACACTAAAAAAGGCTATAAGACTCAACTATTCGATGCCCACTTCGAACACTGACAAGATTATGTAAAACATGCCAGTCCATGGATCAAGGAAAACTACCTGAGCTCCAATAGAATACTCTCAATTAAAACAAGCTTGTTCTCAATGATGGGAGAATCAACTTGCTTTAACTGTAATCGATCGGGATTTTATTCTTACCATGCATGTCCAGGCGTAATTAAGCAAAGCAAACTTTTTCCATCTCTGGTAAGATGCACTCTCGCATCCGTAAGTGCATTACTCATTCATTCCTAGAATTTGTTTCTCAGTACAATAGCTGAAAATGGGTGACATAGTTAAGAAAATGTCATGAACATCATCTTGTCTGGCTGAAAACTACATGGCAGCAGATTTGACTTACTACTAAACCCATCATTCACAAATTCCCTCACGGATGTTGGCACCTTCAGAGCAGCAGATTTGGAACATTCAGACATTAATTTAGCAGCCACAAACACCTTCATCAATTGACAGTGTTCAGAAGGAAAAGAAATAGGGTGGCCTATATTGAACTCAAAGGCGACGGCAGTGAGGATGGCCAAGATGGAGCTATGAGTGGTGTGGTCACCTTGGATGCTTACAAGGGACTACCAGGGTCCTTGAGCACGAACGCACACATCGCCTTGGCCAG